AAACAGAAACGTCTCCGCTCAAGTTCGGATCAGGAATTCTCGTGACGAGAAAATGAACCGTTTCCCATGAGAACCCGAAGCCGTGTTTCGGGGCAACGAGCCGATCGAACCCGGCGATTGGTCAATCGGCATCTCGGCAGTGGGCGGAACTCGTCACGCGACACCGACGTCGTTAAACAACCCGAAAACCTACCCTCCCTCTCTATCGACACCCGAATCCCCTTCACCTAGTCTTCACCTGTTCATATGGACCCAAAAAAAGAAATATCCTCTTCCACCTGTGTTAGTAATAACTTTAAAGTAATACGAAAAAAAACATGAAGTTTAATCGAAGCAACGAAATCCTTTCAAAATAAAATTTACTTCAATCCTAAAATTACGGAGAATCTTTTCGTGTGTTTCGTCGAGTGTACAAATTTTGCTGGTGAAGACCAAATCGTTGAAGGATTCGAAAGAAGAAAATTGCTGAAAGAATGTGTAATGTTCTGCGAAGAAAAATTTTGGAAGAGCTAATACTAAAAAAAATAACTGCATTCTTCCAATTTTCTCACGCATAATCAGATCGTGCTGTGAGCTCAACGCAGCCAACACGCAGAGAAAAATCTTGAACAGAAAACAACTGGACTAAAACTATTCAATATTTTAGTCTTCTTTGATCGACGGAAATGAACCGAAATAAATAATTACAAGAATGCCAGCAAAGTTTAATCCTGTAAAGGCCTTTGCAGCAAAATTATAATAGGAAAAAACCCTTCAGTAATAAATTCAACATGCAACCATCATATATGCGAGTCATTTTCAATTCCGTTACATGCACCAAACTTGACTGTATTCTATAAGTGAAAATTTTGCTGTTTTTGTTTCTTTTCGATTTTTCGCATCTTCTAGAAAATTGAGTTCAGAGAAGAAAAGCATGCTACGGATTTTTCATTTTCACCAGCGCAGTCCGATCAACTGTGCTTCACTTCTTCAGATTTTTGTCATCCAACTTATTTTGTTGTCTACATTACGTTTTTCGTCTCATTATACGCATCAATTCATTTCAGTCTTCAACTTTCTTGAGCATAAATTTCATGCATAGTATTGATTGAAATTACCGCGATTGAATACTGCGTACAATATATCATCTGTTGAAATTAATTTGCGGGTCAATTTTTTTTTAAATAAATCGAGATGGCATGTCATTGAACGTTTGCTGTTCGTCCATTAGGCAGCTAACAACAAATTCAAATTCGCTCAATGACTTAATTTTATGCCATGCCGAATTTTCAATCAGTATTTTCAATCGGTGAAAATAATGAACAATTAACTCGTCAAGCAGCCCGATGACACCATCAGATATGAATCACACATTGGGAAAAAATCGAGGTGAATATAAAAATTTTCAAGTCCACTTAACAGTAAATGAATTCAAAAAAGATTTAGATTTCCGACGGATGAAAAAAGTGTGCTTTGCCTTCCTTTTCTTTTAAACTGTTTCAAAGCGTAGAATGAAAGTAGTGGCATAAGCTGTTCCTTGTTCCACGGAGATGAAATGGTTTCTAAAGCTTGTGACATTGGCGTCGAGTTGTCACTATCGATGCTGATGATGCAAAGGTCAAGAGATGATGACGATAGTGACGATCAGAGCCGACAAAGACAGAGCTTCTATATAAAGTCAGTCGCCTCGTCGAGATTCACTATGGATAAACAATCCGGGAAACGTTACCCTTCAAAATAGAATGCGACTCCAAAACCAGGTCCAAAACTCATCCAGATTTTTCCATGATTTAATTCTCACAACTTTCACTTGAGGTTCGTAAAAGGAAATCTAGAATGGACCAATTTACAAAGAAACCGCACTAAGCAAGTATGCTTTTCATTCAAAATGGCGAATAATTTTGTACAAAATACATACAAGGGACTGAAAAAGTTATCGTTAGAGGCAGTTGAATTTCCGAGCATCCGGATTATTGAAAAAAAGGATTTACTGGAATATTTGAAAATTTGATTTGCCAAACTAAAAATACAGTAAGACCCCCAGATGAGGACATCATTGGTGCATCAAGGATGTCCCTAAGTTGAGTCTTGTTTTCCTGTAGGCTTAATTATATAATTTTTAATTGTGGTTTTGTGGAAGAAATATTCTCCAGAATTCCATGTGTTGTCCGTTGAAAATAAAATACTTCTTGTAAAAATATA